GGGGGGGAATTACTAGTACTAAACACTAACAACAGGAAATACGATAATAGAAGCGAACTAAATCACACGACGAAGTAACGATCTACTTAAGAATATGCAGGAACCTGAGTGCTACTAAAGTAACTGGTAAAAAAAAGGAGAAACTTACAACTACCTACTAACCTTCTACCCTAATCATCGACCCTGATACCTTCCTATCAAGGGTCATGTCCTCAGTAAGCTGAAGCCTGAAGCCGCGACATATCATATCTAATCACCTCTCCCCAATACTTCTTTGGCCTACCTCGACCTCTTCTCAAACCCGCCATGGCCAGCCTCTCACATCTCCTGATAGGAGCATCAATGCTTCTCCTCTATACGTGCCTGAACCATCTCAGCCTCGACTCCAGCATCTTGTCCTCCACGGAGGCCACTCCCACTTTGTCCCGAACAGCTTCGTTCCTAATCTTATCTCTCCTGGTATACCCACTCATCTAACTCAACATCCTCATTTCTACTACTTTCATCTTCCGCACATGTGAGTTCTTACTTGGCCAACACTCCGCCCCATATAGCATAGTTGTCGGACCCTCACTTTGTATAATTTACCATTAAGTCTCAGCGGCACATTCCAATCACATAAGACGCCAGATGCAAGCCTCCATTTCATCCATCCCGCTCCAATACGATGTGCGACATCCTCGTCAATCTCCTTGTTACCCTGGATAATAGACCCGAGATACTTGAATTTACCTTTCTTGGGGATAACTTGAGTATCAAGCTTCATATCCACGTGTGACTCCTGAGCCCCGTCACTGAATTTGCACTCTAGATATTCTATTTTAATCCAGCTCAACTTGAAACCTTTAGACTCCAAGGTCTGCCTCCATACCTCCAACCTTGCGTTGACCCCACTTCACGTCTCGTCGATCAACACTATATCGTCAGCAAATAGCATGCACCATGGCACTTCCCCTGTATGTGCCGCGCCAGCACGTCCATCGTCAAGGCTAATAAAAACGGGCTAAGAGTCGATCCCTGGTGCAGCCCCATCACAATTGGAAAGTGCTCTGAGTCCCCTCCCACCGTCCTCACCCGACTCTTAGCACCATCGTACATATCCTTAATCACCCTAGTGTACGCTACCAAAACGCTACTAACCTCCAAACACCTCCACAAAACTTCCCTCGGCACTTTCTCGTATGCCTTTTCAAGGTCGATAAACACCATATGCAAGTCTTTTTTCCTTTTGCTATACTGCTTCACTAATCTCCTCACCAGATAAATAGCTTCCATAGTCGAGCGCCCCGGCACGAATCCGAACTGGTTCTCGGAACTAAACACGCTCTGCTCATCCTGACTTCCACCACCCTCTCCCAAATCTTTATAGTGTGGCTTAACAGCTTTATACCCCTATAATAATTGCAATTTTGGATACCACACTTGTTCTTGTACAACGGAACCATCGTACTCCACCTCCATTCCTCGGGCATCATTTTCGTCTTAAAAATGATATTAAACAACCCAGTGAGCCACACCATGCCTACTCGACCCGCGTTCTTTCCAAACTCCACTGAAATTTCGTCTGGCCCCGTCGCTCTGCCCCTACTCATCTTGCGCATATCCCCTTCCACCTCCTGCACCTTAATACGCCTACAATACCCAAAATCCCGCCGACTCTCGGGGTGCTCCAACTCACCCAGCACAATACTTTTGTCCCCCTACTCATTTTGTTATATTGCTATAACAAAAATATAGTACAAAATATAAATTTGATATAAAGCAACTCTTAGAATAAAATAATTTGATAACAAGAACTGAAATAGAAAAATACCATAAAACCGCGGGGAGAAATGACAGAAAATACAGAGGCAAATCTTGTTCTTCAAAGTTATAAATATAACGCCCATAAAACTAACACCATCCGCTATGGTCAAGATGGCTATAAAAACGACCAGAATATTTAAAGCAAGATATTTAAGATACAACAATCTTATTCACCTTTCCCAGTCTGCATAATGTCTTTGGTTCCTGTCATCAAGTGTGCTAAGTATTTCACTCTAGAAGTGTCATTTGTAAACAGTGATCTCCTCACTGAAGCCAGCCGGATTAAACACTCCAATGCCTGAACAAAATTAAACTTGTTACACTAGTCAATTTACTGCTACAAGATTGGGAAATTGAATTGTGGACTGAAAAGAGAATCTTGATAGTAGTTTAGCAACTCGACTTTATTGTTCAAGTCACCTGTCAGATGAATGTAGTAGTAAACCATTACAAGAAAAAAGATGAGACATACATATAATTAATTAAGCCTGTGAACAAGTGAAATTCTTAGCAAACCCATTTTTCTTTTGGTATTGATCAAAGGAGTGATTTCCAAAATAGTTCAAAAATCATTCGAAGGATTAAAATGATAATTTGCTTAAAAATCTTAACATAACAACAATAGTAACACCAATATAGCATTTACATGTTTCCGGCAGAATTAAAAGAATTAGTGGTCGCCGCAAAAGGGACATGCACAGTCAAAGTTTACTTTTTCCAAAGCAGAGTGACAAAATTAGCTTCTGAAAAAGCTCAAAGTCCCAGCCATTATAGACTAGCAACTGGAGATTTGATAACAGAATACTTTTATCATGGTTTCAAAGCAAGCTAAATAATCATAACATTGAAGCAAAAATACACTTGAAGGCACCGGAAACAGTATGATACTGACCTCCTTTGAAATGTTAGGCTTATTGATCTCATAATAGTCAAAAAAAATCTGCACCGTCGATGGGTCCTCCAGGACTTGCTTCCACGAAGATGGGATCTGCAACAATGTTAAGTGAGCAATATGATATTTGCAGATAGGTTAGACAGCTTGATAAATGCATGTTACGGAAGATAAAAACACCTGAATTGTGCTAAAATCGTCCGAACTTTCATCAACCGTTGTTCCCATAAAGTCGAATGATAAACATTTTAGTGACAGAGCAAGAGCCAGTTCTTGTAGTTTGCTGCTAACCATATTCTCAGAAATTGCAACTGCATATTAACAATAAGCAACAATAGTGAGATAAGTAAATTAAAGAGATTTATACACCACGTGGCAGCTAAAAATAAATAAATCAAACTGGCCCCACTGTTGTTGCTATTATCTGTTTATTGCTTCTTTATCACTGTTCTTGAGGCGGGGTCTACCGGAGAGGTATGATCTGGGATCCCACTGGGTTTGTCATTATTGTTGTTGTCTTCTGCTGTAAATCATTGATATCTACTTAAATTGGACTAATATTAGTGATCCTGGGAAGGACAAATCGTTTGAGATCTCATGGGTTCAAATTGTTCGCTGGGAGGAATGCTGGGGGGTTTCTCTTTTCATAGGCAAGTCATTTTTGGCTAGAAGGTGTTGGATAAATTATAGGGCTAGCGGCTGTTATACTTTTTTGCCAAGAAGCCAACTTTGTCAAAATCCCTAAATTAAATACACATAGCAACGTCAAATATCAGAATTACGATTGTATCTGATGAAGCATTACCGTCATTTTTCAGCTGGGCCATTGATGTCAAGGATATTTGGAATACTTGAAGAAGTGATTGATCTCTGTAGGAGCAAGCCACCCTACGATGCTGCGCTGATGGCAATCCAGGACTGGGCTGGATACAAGAAAACGTATAGCTGTATGAACGGGCTGATTAAAAGAACCTAAATCAATTTATAAGGTTAATCTATCCATTATTAGGTCCATATCAGACCACTTGAAATCAGAAGAAATAGTACCTAGTTATAAAATTGCAAAATTAGCAACAAAAATACACTCTTCAACTCATTATACTAAAGCAAATTCCAATATAATGATCTCAAGAGTTGCCTGAATTAAACCAGGAGCTGGACTGAAAGGATAACAGTTAATAGGATACAACCATATAATTTGACAGCAAGAGGAAGAATAATTTAATACTATATTGATGTCAAAATCTAGGGACTGTCACATGTTTTAACATATCAGATTGCAAAAGAATCACTGTAAGAAAGTTGCAAGAATAATGAATATTTTTTATGTACAAGCACAACCCATTAGGAGAACAGGGCACACTAAATGAAAGGGTAAAACACAACATTTTAGGATATGTCATTCAGCAACAACATATTTATATGAATTTACAACTCCCGCAGTTGAAACCTCGCATGGTGTCTCCTTTACTAGCTTCCCTTTCTGGATTTCATCCACATCGTTTTGGAAAGTCATAAAAGAACTAAGCCTTATGAAAAGACTAACCTGATTCATCTCTGACACAAGTTGATTCAATATCTTCAAACCAATTGCATAACGAGATGCTGTCTGAGGCATACATCATACATCACGAAAAACAAACAATTAGAGATTCATTTACCAAATTGGCAAATACAGTGGTGCAAGATATAGCAAACTTACAGAAAAGAAGGAAAAATAAACACGGGAGTGGGATCAAATGGCAAGATAAAGGGATCCTTTGGACTATCAATGAAAGGTGTAGCATTGATATTTGGAATTCCAGATGGATCCTCAACACTCCATGTCTAAGAAATTCCATTCAAGGGCCTCTCAATATGACCGACCACAATCTAAAAAATTAGAGAACTAACGCATTTTTTCTAACTTGTCTTTTGACCTTTCCTGTTGTATTACTGATAACATTAGCACTTTAAATCTCTCCCAACGCGCTACTACTCCCGACGTCCCTATTTTGCTCCCTTAGTAGCAATGGCAAGTTTAGTATAAAATCATGTTACACTCTCGTTGATGGTCGGGACGACAATGACATAGATTTTACATGGATTTGGCATTTCAACTGCCCTAACAAGATAACATTTCTCCTGCGGAGATGTTTTCACGATAGATCTTATCTTATCCATATTGGTATGAATATTGACGTTGTTTGTCCAATGTGCAAAACTGAGGATGAGACCATTATGCATACTTTCTTCAATTGTCTTATAACTGATGCATTCGGGAAGAATTTAGGTATTATTCACCTCTCAGCCAATGGTATAACTCACTGGCTTTTCATAATAAAAAACTTAAAATCTTACGTTGAATCACAATTCTTACCTGGGAGGCTTTTCCCATTTGTTATCTGGAATATCTGGATGAATAGAAACAAAAACCATCATAATAATACTAATTATGTTCTATCCTCTAAGATTGTTTTTTAGCAGGCAACGGAATACAAACTCCTCACAGTCAAGGAGTCAAACCCATATATTTAAAAAAAAAATTATACCCCCC